GGGGATGTTGGCACGGGGGACAGAGACGGATCACAGGGGGGGGGGGATGGCATCCTCTGCGGGACAGGGACGGGTCGCAGAGGGGGGGGAGATGGCATCCTCTGGGACGGGGGACGGTCACACCGGGGAGAGGAGAGATGCATCACCTGCGGGACAGGGAACGGCCACAGGGGGGGGGGGGGGGGGAGATGACATCCTCTGCGGACAGGGACGGTCACAGGGGGAGGGAGATGCATCCTCTGCGGGACAGGGACGGGCCACAGGGGGGGGGGAGATGGTATCCTCTGCGGGACAGGGACGGTCACAGGGGGGGGGGGGGGAGATGACATCCTCTGCGGGACAGGGACGGGTCACAGCGTGGGATGGAGTCCTCTGGTGTACAGGGGCGGGTCACAGTGGGGATGCTAGACTCTGGGACGGAAGGACGTATCACAATGCGGGACCTCGTGGAATAAGCGCGGGAAGACCTCGTGATGAACACTGATGCCGGCACATAAAAATAAGTGTGCCACCTAACACATTTCCGTGTGCTAACTGAAAGACAGGCACAATGATAACCATGCTATAAGCATTGGCGTTGTTTAGTTGACGATCATAAAACGTGACCGCATGTCGAACACTGTTTACGTTTTAAATCACTTTCAACCGCCAAGTGGTGTAAAGAAAACGTACCAGTGGTCAGATGTTGTGTAGTAATTTTGAGTTGGGGGCACGACTTTCAAGAGTCCTCCTCACTGGGGGCTTCTTGCGCAATGAAGTATTCGAATAAAATGTGTGTCAAAGGCATGAACTGTTTTATCAAACATATTCGCAGCCGGTAAAAATGATAATTACAGCCGGGTAAATAGACGTTGACGACAACAAAACAGAATCCGACCGTCTAATCACCCACAAGGGTCAATGACCTAAAACAGAGTTTCCTGATTGATGGAGGGACTTCCTGATCCAGAACAGGATGCTTCCGATTCCCGGAGGGGGCTGCAAATCTAGCCAAGGTGCCTGGTTCTCTCACACCAGGGCATCCTGATTCTGGGCCACAGCCATCTCATGCACGAAAGGGGCCTCCTAATCCAGACATTGGCCTTCTGATAAAGAGGGTGCCTTCGAGTCCAGAACAGAGCCTCCTAGTTTATAACGGAGCCCGAGCCAACAGAGAGGATTCTCCAACACAATACTGTGTCGTCTGATCTAGAGCATGAAACTACCGCATACATAAAGTGGCTGTATGATCCAGAAAACGGGCTTCTCGATTTACAAACGGGTCTTCTGAACCCGATTGATTGCCCCCTAGTTACGCTATGGTGGCCTCCTTGATCTGAATTTCTGGTGGTCTATGAGTAGTTACAATGCCTTTAGTTTGGAAAAACTGGTTTCCCAATTTATTTAGGAGAAAGCGTACTCTTGCCCCTGCCAACCGAAACGAGGGGCAAATGCCCCTTAGCCCCCCCCCCCCCTTTGCTGCGCCGCCCTGTCGCTGGTACCTGCAAACTTGGTTACTTGGTTAGTATGTCACGTGATTGCCTGAGTTTTCTCACATGCATTACACACAAGCCGCTGTATTTGGAGTCCCGGACGCTTAAATGTACCCCTGCTCACCTTCACCCATATATCCGTATCCAGAGACGGTGCAGCGGCTGCCCGCCTGCTGTTCAACCCCTCTGACCGGGAGGCACACCAGGCAAACTCCCTCCGTCAGGTCCACCACCTGATGGCACGGAGACGTGATGACATACGCAGTACTGCTGAACTCTGACGGGAAACAGACCAGGCAGACTCCTCTGTCAGGTCCACCTGATGGCACGGAGACGTGATGCAACGCAGTACCACTGAACTCCTGACGGGAAACAGACCAGGCAGACTCCCTCTGTCAGGTCCACCTGATGGCACAAAGATGTGATGACATGCAGAGTGCTGCTGAACTCCTGACGGCAAACAGACCAGCCAGGCGCCAAACACCAGCGGCATCTGACGCCACGGACGGGGGTGTGTTGCGATGACAACGCGCTGATATCATGTTGTTACGCGGGGTGCACAGGGTCCGAACCCACGTCATGGCACAGGATGCACATGTGTCCGGAATCACGTCATGGCACAGGATGTGCATATGTCCGGACTCACGTTATTGCACAGGATGCACATATGTACGGACTCAAGCCATTACACAGCATGCACATATGTACGGACGTCGAAGCAAGTACCAAGACCAGAGGAGCCCACCAGCAAAGGATAACATGCTCGTGCTTCCTTTTAAGCCCTTAGGCACAATACGGTACATTCGAGTAACATCGGAAGCAAGAGACATTTAAACGTCAACGAACCCAATACGAGCTTGCTTTTCCCAGTACGCTCACGCAAATCGTCGCCGGTCTGGGCGCTCACCTCGCCGTGCAGCTTGAGAAGGGCGATGTCGTTGTCGAGAGTCTGCGTGTTGTGGTTGTGGTGGATGTAGGTGGTGGAGACACGCAGCGTCTGCGCGCCCGGCGAGCCCTGCTTCGAGGTCAGGTCGTGGTCACCCACGCGCACGTAGATGGCGTCACCCGAACGGACGATGCTGAAAGGCCGTGCCCGGGTAAGCCAACAGACAGCGCACGTCAACTAATGCGGATGGGTAAACTGGGCGAGCGTATGTGTGACAAATGTACGCAATAAATGTGCCAAGCCAGAAATGGTTTCGCACTCGATGTAATATAACTCATTCTAACTATATGATGTGAAAGAAAAGAGGGCCCAGTTATTGATTAATAGCTTGACGAGTGAAAAACAAAAGATAACAAGTGTATCGCTTGGTCAAAGTCGGTTATCCATGCATGTTTTGTCCATATAGTCATTATCAACGTGCAATCCCCTGCCAAGCGCTAAAACCCAGAACTCCAGCTCCTCGAAACAGCCCATCCGCTCCTCCGTCTGCCATCCTTCACTTCCCGTCCCTCATCCTGTTACCTTCGCTCTCCCGTCCCTTCATCCCGTTACCTTTGCTCTTCCGTACCCTCATACCGCTACCCTTTGCTCTCCCGTCCCCTCATCCTGTTACCCTTTGCTCTCCCATCCCCTCATCCTGTTACCCTTTGCCATGCCGTTCCCTCCTCCTGTTACCTTTCGCTCTCCTGTGCCCGTCCTGTTACCCTTCCCTGTGTCGTCCCCTCCGCGCACTCTCACTTGGTGATGCAGTGGGCGGCGGTGAGCACCCACTGGGTGCCGATCAGCGCGCCGCCGCACAGGTACTGGTTCAGCGAGTTGACGAGCGCCACGTGCCAGCACCACTCGCCGGGGGCCGCGTCCCGGCCGCCGACCACGCGCGCGGTGCGGCCCGGCGCCGCCCCCCTCACGCCGCACACGTACTTGTTGCGCGCAGGGGGCTGCGGCGGCGGCGGCGGCGCGGTGGCGGGGGCGGCGGGGGTGGGCGCCTCTGTGGGGGCGGGGGAGAGGTTCATGTATGCGTGGGGTGGAAGAAGGACGTGGGGAGGTGCCACGATGCTTGATAAAGGAGGAATTTGTTGCCACCCGAACATCATGCATACATTCAATCGAAATCGAAGAATATCTCCATGAAAAAGTCTGCATGTATATAGGTGTATCTAGTCTCAGCATTTTAAAGTGTAACTACAATCGCTTCCGTTATGAAAACACTCACCAGGCTCATAGGCTGCACCAGGTTGTAGGTACTCCTCATCTTCATAGCTGGAGCTACCTGGCTGGTAATTTGCGGTCTGGGTCGGCTGGTACGCCTCGTCTTCAGACGGCTTGCTCTGTGGTATGTGCTGCTCCTCGCAAAGGTGCACTGGGGGACGGTACGGGTCATTGGATGGTGCGCTGGAAGGCTGGTACGGGTTATTGGATGGTGCGGTGGAAGGCTGGTACGGTCCATCACTAGATGGCGGGATGGGCTGCCTGTACGGGTCACCGCCAGATGGCGGGCCGGGCTGCCGTACGGGTCGCCGCCAGATGGCTGATCTGAACAGGCTGTCTGTACGGGTCATCGCCAGATGACGGGCCGGGCTGCCTGTACGGGTCACCATCCGATGGTGGGGCCGGGCTGCCTGTACGGATCACCACCAGATGGCGGGCCTGGCTGCTTGTAGGGTCACCGCCAGATGGCTGGACAGGCTCTGCCGTACGGATCACCACCAGATGGCTGGCCTGGCGGCCCGGTTACTGCTCGGGCATCCGGTCTGGCTTCGGCGAACCTGCGCGTCGCCGGGACCCGCCTGGCCACTCTGTGCCGGATACCGGCTGGTACTCGGTCTGCCTGCCTGCGGGTACTGCGGGTACGCCGGCCGGAACCGCATCCGTGCCAGCTGGCGCCGAGTAGCCCGGATAGTCCGGTACCGCTGGTACCCGGCGGAGGCTGCCCGCCGCTCCCAGTTGTCGGCGGACGAGGATTCTTGGCGCAGCACCGCTCCGACTTGGAGCCGCAACGGAAAGTGGTGGTCAGCTCGGCTCCACCTGAGGAGGAGCAGTCACATCAGTTGCTAAGGTCTCACGCGACACACGTTATTCCCCTGTTACAAATTCGGAAATTGATAAATCCAGGCGATCATTTTCAAGATAGCTTCTGGAAGCATGACCAAAATCAGCGCATTAGTGCATTGTTAACAACTTTGATTGTCTGTTTCTATATTTGTGGTTGAAACCATGGACGAGGGTCGAAACAGGACGTACAGCTATGTCAAGGGGAATTTGAACAGATCCGGACGGGCTAAATAATCAAACACTGCCCATATCGATCTTTGGACATCATTCATGCTTTCAAACATTGTTGCGAAATCAATGAACGCTTACCAAAGCAGGTGAATGAGAGGAGCTTCGCAATGCAGGTGTCGGGGCAGAGAGGCCTGGTGTCGGCCGGTGGAGCCAAGCGCCGCCGTTGTCTGCGGCGGCGGAGGGGGGCGCCTCTCCACGTCCACACGGTCGGGTGGCGGACGGCTCGGGCGGGCCGGGCGGGCCGGCCGCTGTCCGCCCCCGCCCAGCAGCGCAGGCAACACCGCCTGCATCAGCGCGTTGGAGCCGCCGCCGCCGCCGCCACCACCGCTCAACAGCGTCGCCGCCAGGGGCGCTAGTGAGCTGAGCAGGCCCGCTGGCGCCGCCCTGGCCGCCGCCGCCGCCACCGGACAGCGCCTGGCCGATGAGGGCGCTGAGAGCGCCACCAGAGGGCGTGCCGCCCGTGTGCACCGCCGGTTCCTTGGCTAGCTGACTGGCGGACGGCCCGCCGCAGCACAGCTGCCCGCTCGGGCAGCCGGGCACCTCGGGCAGCGGGCGGGCGGGCGACCTGCAGAGCGCCACCATCTGCAGGGGCAGGCAGGGTTGCCGGGGCAGCCGCTCGGCTGTGCAGACGGCTCGGAGGCTTGCGCTGGCTCCGCCCCGGCTGCCTGCTGGACCGGACTCGGTGCGGATGTCTGTTCGGACTCAGCAGGCTGACCGGGGGCAGGTGCAGGCGCCGGTGCAGGCAGCATACGGCTGTCCAGGTGTCTGGCTAAAGTCTACAGCCGTCTCTTGCTGTTGTGGCTCCTGCTGCGGGTCTGCGGCCTCTATGCCCGCCTCGGCTCCGACCCTGTCCGGCTCATTGGCGAGCCTGGGAGGCCCGTTCGAGGCTTGTGGCTGCCCATGCTGGGCCATGCGCTCCGCTATAGAGGCCGGCGTGCTCGCCAGGCGTCCGCTGGGGAGGCGATGACGCCGTAACACCTCCGGCCTGAGGGAGGCCCGGGTCGGGCTCGGGGATGGGCAGGTCGTCAGTCTCGGAGACCGTCTCGGGGACCACCCCCGCAAACCGTCTCGTGCTCGGGCCCGGACTCCAACCCGGTCTGGGAGACGGGCTTGCGGTCGAGCTCGGGGGCCGGCTCAGGGGCGGGCGGCGGCCGCCGGCTCGTCAGGCAGCAGCGGCCCCCGGTGTTGCAGCGCACGCTCCGGTCCACCCGGTCGCAGAGGTAGGAGAAGAGCCCGTTGACGCACTGGCCCCGGCACTGGGACCGAACAGGGATCGTGATGTCTGGCCGAGCTGGAACGACGTGGAGACGTGAGCGGCGCGAGGAGACCAGCAGCAGAGGGCAGATGGCGACAGTCAGCGACAGCGGCACCCGGGTCAGAAAACACGACCTAGAAGGTATGGTGCCACATTGTGGCATTTGGTGCGTGAGCGATGGATGGTACACATTCAAACTTCTCTATTAAGGACATGATTCCAAAGCGTCCTAGGCATGGTACTCGAAAAAATGTGAAGTGCCTTTTTGTTTCCGAGCAGTTTGAGCGTGGTTGATGTTTTACTGGACTACGTAACTTTTGCATACCCTTTCATCCTACGCTTTCATTCACGCAAGCGCGCCAACGCCGCGTTTTAAGCCCACAAAGTGCCACATGTGCCAATGCACGGTTACCGCAAACGAAAACGATCAGCCGCCAATTTTCGCCTTAACAAATAAATTATCATGGAGACTAGACGGCTAACAGAGGTCATCAGGTACTGATTAGACTGGCCAGCGGACATTATGTCTAACGATATTGGGATCAGCTGGTGTCAATCGGACAGCAGTGTCGGCATTGGCATGTATACACTTAGCGAACAAGGTTTGCCGAGATCAACACTCGCTAATCACTGCTCCAGTACCAGAGTCAGCAGGTAGTTTAGAACCGAATAATTGATCGGGATTAGCAGGTGCAGCCAAAGAAAGGGACTGCGATCCGCTGGTTCTTACATGACAGTCGGCCAGGGATGCCCTGTTCCTCTTGGACTGCTGACAAACGGACCTGCCGTCATCATGTTCGATTTATTCTCTTCGTCCAATCCTTTCTGTGGCTTCTGTGCCGCTGAATTGGACTGCATCGGAACCGGTTGCGACTGCGGCTTTGGTTGCTGCTGAGCTGTCGGAGTCGAGGCGGGCTGCAGCTGCTGTGGCCTCGAGGCCGGCGGCGACTCTGCCTTTGGCCGCGTCTCCTGCGGCCGCTGCTGTGGCTCCGGCCGCCTGGCTGGCGGTTGGTCCGGCCGTTTCTGCTGCTGCATTGTCGGTCTCGTCGCTGGCACCCCCGTCTGCGGAGGCGGCCGCGCCTGTGGCTTTGGTCGCTGCTGCTGCTGTGGTGGCTGTTGACCGGCTACCGACGCCTTCTTGAGCCGAACAAACTCCGGTGGCGGAGACGGCAGGTTGTCGAACAGAGAGCCGGGTACGCAGCAGCGCTGGTCGTCGGCGCAGGCTCGTGGCACATCCAGCGCCGCCTCGCAGTAGTTGGCTATCCGCAGGGCCACGCACACCCCCGGGCACGGCACTGCCGGCGAGGTCAGGCCCGGTCAGGACACAACCCGGGCACAGCGCCGCCGGCGGAGGTCAGGCCCGGTCAGGACACACCCCCGGACACGGCACCGCCGGCGAGATCAGGCCCGGTCAGGACACACCCCGGGCACAGCGCCGCCGGCGGAGGTCAGGCCCGGTCAGGACACACCCCCGGACACGGCACTGCCGGCGGTGGTCAGGCCCGGTCAAAAGGCCGGCACCCAGGCTGTGACAAGGTTTGTTTCAAGCAATACACGCAGTGCGTTTCAAATTCGGGTTTGGTTCATTGCACTTTTCGGGTCAATTTTGGCCATTCGAGAAAAAAATAGTTTCCGGAGATAAGAATTATGAACTGATCAGGTGCTAACGAGAAACGATGGTCCACTTTATCGTGCTCCGCTCATTGTCAAAGCCATTTTCTGGGCCCTCTGGGTCTGGTCAGTACCATTGGTAGACCCTCTGGAGCTTGTCAGTGCTAACAAAAGAGCTTGAAACTCTTTTCGCCTGTACCTTTAATTAAAGGTACAGGCGAAAAGCCCTAAACGTTCATGTCTTACCTGTCATACGTTCCGTAGTAGTAGGTTGTGTTGTGGCCACAGTGGTAGTCGTCGGAAGCGGCGTCGGTCTCGTCGTCGGCCTCGTCGTCGGCCTCGTCGTCGTAGTGGGTCTTCTTGTTGTGGTTGTGGGAGTAGTTGTAGTTGATGGCGTGGTAATCGTGGTTGATGACGGCGCCTTTGGCAGAGATTGACGATGCATTGTACATAAGTCAACAGGCAACAGCTTTCCCAAATTTGCCACCTTTCCCGATGCAGGATATTTTAACCCCGTCTTATCTCTAGATCTAATTCTTCTATCACAAACAAAGGCGATAAATAGGTCGGGTCAATCGTCCCACGAAAACGTTGACCTCTGAACTATTAGTTATGTTGTTGCAGGTCACGAAAATCACCGTAAAATTGCCGGCAGTTTTCAACAGTTTCTGATCATCTATTGCATCTGACTTTTGCCCCTGCCATCTTCCCAAAAAAAGCCTCTGTTTCAGCAGAAAAGTTGCATGATGTTAACGTAGGTCAAGGGTCAAGAATCAGATCTCAGACCGAAGATCAAGGGCTAGATGAAGTCGGGTGAAGTTCAGATTATTTATGCCAAAGCCCGGCTAGTCCGCTGGATATCACGACACTGTTCAGCTAAGTCAAATGACCTTTGGTGTGTGCGATAACCTGAGGCGATTATTATAGAATAAAACGGTGCCGCCGACCGTGATTTCTCAAATAGCATTTGCGGGTGTGAAACTGTTTTTGCTACTTGTTTTTGATGTAAGTGTATTTAAATCTAAAGGAAAAAATTATCCGGTGACAGCATAGTCCGTCATAATTATCAGCTTCGTTCACTAGTATTTGGTTTTGAAAATGCGTCAGTTTAGCTGGCGAATTGACTGTACATTAACAGCAAAAGACTTCCGCTTAAATTTCCAAGCTCATTCCATATTTAGCCTGGTTGATCTAGTTAAGTACAATCGGTTGTGACAGACACACTTACCCCAGTTGGTGTATTCCAGAAAAAATGCGGTGCAAGGAAGCAAACTTTGAAATGATGCTGGTGGAAGCACAGATTGCCGTACAATGCCATGATGATGGCGTACTAGATTCTTGGCCTAATCTCGCATATTTTTCGTGACCTGTTACATTCGTTTAATGACAGGTACGACGCATTTGAGAGACCCATCTGGAAGGTTTCGGAAATCATCCAGAAGAACGTAGGGGCCTATGTTGAACCCGTCCATGGGCCGTCGAGTTATCTCTAAGGGTTAGAATGTCGGGTCAGGTAAAGCTAGGCCAAGGGCCTATCGCATCACCCTTTGCATACCTTTGCAGAATAAAGCTGGATTCTTTCAAAGCATGCAATATCTACGAGAACTATACCCAATCAGTGATATAAGACCGTGTGTCGTTCAGTTGCTTATCATGACTGTGACCTCAGGTGATCTAACGCCTAAAATATTCGTGTTTGGTGGTGGTATTAGAATACAATAAATTGCGCACCAATATTATGTTGGATGGTTTTCAGCGGTTCAACGGAGGCGGCTATGACCCTTAACAACCCCAATCTGGTTATTGATACATGCCAAACATTTTGGCTCGTAGCATCGCGCCGTTTATGGAATGATTTGACATTAGAACCAGGAGTTGACCTGACGTGATGTTCGTCTCGAAGGACCTTTGCAAATACAACGGACATCGATAAAGATTATCACTTGACCACACAGAGAGCTCAGAATGCATCGGAAAACAGCGATGCTCCGCAACATCGCCGCGAATACGCCTGAGAACGAGATCACCATCAATCGCCTCAGAAAACAGCAGGTATGAGAGGTAGTGCCAAACTTGCCTTATGATGTACTGAACGGCTGGGGAGATATGCTCGAAAACCTGGATGGTGGTTTATACGAGTTCCGTTTCTCAGTGAAAGTTGATGCGACAAAACTAGCAAAGCCAGATCGCATTCAGAAAAGCGGGAGCGCAAGCCAAAAGAGTAGATCTCCCATTATCAAATAAGTCAGATGTAATTTGCAGCAATGGTTAATACGAATGGCGGTGACCATTATGTCCTGTCATGTATCGTTTCATTGTTCAAAAAACAAAACATGACTATATATCTTATTCAACTTGCAAGAATGGCGGATTGGTCTGCAAACTAAGAAGCCAATCGATAGGTGCAGGACCAAGAGGTGGACACTAAGCCTCGTATCTTTCTTAAGAGGGTTGCATTGGGCTTCAGCCGTCCGCAGTTCCTGACAATTTTTATGCAAGTTTATTCTAAGCACCTTGCATAGGCAGCTTTAAGCTATGATCCCTTGCTATGCTAAGACATTTGCTGATATCCTGAACTCACTGACCACTTTGTGACGCCCTAGTTCAACAACGTTCCCTGTCCTTTCTCCTGGCCGGGCTGCAGGGGTTTTGCGCACCGTGCAATGCCGAAGCGCGGTTACTAAGGGCTTGAGGTGTCCCTCGTTAGCCACTTGTCAGCCAGCCTTTTCACGTCAGTCGGGCCAACTAATGAGCCCGCGCTGGGACTGAGACTGGGACTGGGCCAGTGTCGCTGGGTAACGAATCCAGAACCTTTCCTCAGGCAACAGCGATTTCCTGACTTGGAGTGAGCAAAGGGACGTTCCAAGTGGACATATAAGTACGATTTCCTGCCACATAGTCAAAAGCAGGGACCACGTACCTGTGTTGGGGTTGTGGTTACAACTTGGGTCGTGCTGCGTGTTTCGGGGAGCGCCGAGGTCGGCGCCACCGTCGCTTTACGGCGCACTGGACCCTGGCCGACGCAGCAGCGCATGGAGGGCCGGCCGCAGGAGCGGTTCTCCAGGATCTTCTCGCACATGAGTGCCGCCAGCGCGTGGAAACACTGGCCCGGGCAGTTGGTGCTCTCCGTAGGCCGCGTCAGCGACGTGAACAGATCTGGGAACGGACGAGAGCGGTTAGGGGTACGTAAGCCGTCGGCTAACAACCTGACTTGAGTTTGGAAGAACATCTGGCGTCGATGAGTGTCATCCAAGGCTTTAATTGTACAGGGAAGCTGCGGAATGAGACGGTTAGTGGTAACGCTGTTTAGTGCCATCACTGGTATGCAAGATCGCATGGTCAAAATATTCACATCGTAGTGGGACGGGATATTGCGCAATTGCCAGGAAGGCCATTGGGCGTAGGAAGCATCAGCGGCAGCAGCCGGCATTAAGAAAGTTCATGATAGAATGGTCCGTGCTTAACTTGGTGCGTACACTAGAGGGGGGGGGGGGCGCTATTTCCAAGGTGACTTAGGTAGACAAGAAGCGTGCACGCTGTAAGAAATGCGATAAATCTGCTCACTACGTCAAAAATCTACCCACTACCCACAATCATGAGGCGCATGTGTGTACCCAGGTGCTCGCTAAGTTCCACAGCCAACGGTTGCCGACGTAATCGTGTGACGTGTTCACTGAACGGAACTGCTTAGTGATTCGTAACGCCTAAAAAATACTCGACGGCCCTTAAACCCACAGGAACTTCACGCACAAGAGCGTCTGTAAGACACGGTGTTTAATGGTCGCTACAGCCGTCTTGGCTGCTGAGCCGTTCGTCATCGATATATTCATATATATATATATATATATATATATATATATATATATATATATATATATATATATATGCATACATAAGACCGCTGATTTTGCATTAGCAAGCTTCTGGATGCATCGCTCGGGGTTCCGGGCTTTCGGCTTAGAACTATCGTTAAGATGACAGACCATTCGTTCGAAATCATTCACATGTTCATCGGCATCTGTATGTATGAACCTTTCGAGACCTATCACATGATTGGAAAAAGATAGGTGGCAACAGTAATATTTTTTAGCTGTTAAGGATGAAAGACATGTATGGCTATCTTAAAAACACCTTTTAGTACGAAGGAGACGAGAAATCCAATCGATACTTGGATGCATATGAAATGCATCCGAACTGAAACCGCTACAAAAACAGCCACAATCACATGCACAGTAAATACCGCCAAACACCTAATAATTTAGGAGTTGCACAAGAGTTTGCTTCTATAGCGCTGGAGGGAATTGGTTGATATATATGATTTCCAAAACTTGCAATTAACAGACTGATCACCACCGCTAATACCGTTGTTGATGACATAGGTTCCTCCAAAATAACGGTGAATTTGCGCTTCGTTACGCCGATGAATCTGAAAAAAATCACACAGATGCCAACCCCTTCGTCTAATCATTTTGCACATTCCGTCACCAACTTAAAGAATCGCAAAGCGGCTTAACAGTCGTTTGTCTCCGTGTCTTACCATGTCTTATGGTTTTTCGTCGATGACTGGATTTACTGACAGCGTGCAATCTTGTCAGTGTGATGTTTTTCCAGCCTTTTTAAATGTTGAAAGCCCTTTTACAAACGAGCCGATTGAAATAACCATATCCATCGTTCTTGACCGCGTACACAATTGATGTAGGTACGTACGTATGTATGCATGTATTAGCCGGCATACTTCAAATGGCGATATGCCGGTATGACATAAGTGGCGGTAAATAGCGGTATGTCCGGTAAGACATAACATGTCGCGGGAAGTAGATATAAAACCGGACATTTACTGTCGTTATGTGGACGGTCTATTTGTGTGGTTAGGGACGCTGACCAATTAGTGTGTTTTAAAAGCCTTTGAAGAGGGACCTGGCTTAAAATTCACAAGGGCATTAAATGTGCAGAATGTAATACCCCTTCCTGTCATGACTGTCCCTGGGCAAGGACAGCAATTTAGATCGCCTGTATACTGACAACAGACTACCATTTGGCGGTGCTTAATTCTTTACAGTGACTACCCTTCATGCTAAAAATAGCGCCGTAAGACCATTACTTAGATGTATATTTAAGCATTGCTATAATTGATCATGATTACATTAGGAATTGACACGGGTAAGGCAGGCCCCCGTGAACAACGGTTATTCAAATTCTGACGTTGAAGACGAAACAGAACGACACACGACGAGATCCCTTAACAACAAACCAAGACAAGGCAAATGACTAACCGTCTAGCTCGATTGTCAAAATCAGATGACATCTGCCTTCAAACGAGACGAACAACATGCACAGGAAATGATCTCTCGAAACGTAATAGCCAAGAACGACCACAAAACAGACATTATCATGTATTATCGCAACAGGACCTGACCTTCTAAAAGCAGACAGCTCTAATAAGCCCGACAAGCTTAAATGCATCAATGCAGTTTAACAATTCGCCCGTAATCTCGAAGTCTGCAAATTTCATTTCATCCACTATATTGGCGTAGCCACAACGACACTCTCACGACGTTTAACAATGCACTCCCGTGGCGAGGCGCCTCTGGAGCACGTGCGACACGAATATGACAGGACATTAACACAACTGACGGACAACACTGACATTCTTCAGACGTACAATGGCAAAAGAAGACTTCAAATTAGGGTATGTACGTTTGCCAACGAACTCTTTCCAGCCCTCAACAAGCACTTTCTTGCACAAGTCTTGAGTTATGGAGTGGTGGGCCGTAACTTCTCTGCATGTGATTGTGGCTATGTGTCTTTATGGTATCTTTGTTATGGATGCATTTTATACGCATCCAAAAAACGACAGATTTCTTGTCTTCTCCGCACTTAAAGATATCCTCAAGATGACGATACGCAATTGCTGGTATGCCTTCGACGAGGAGATAAGGTTTCGAAACGTTCCAATTCACAGATATCGATGAATACAAATGTGTGATTTTGTATGAACAATACCTAAGCTTAACGATACCGCTATATCGAAAGCCTTGATCGTTGAACGATGCATCGAGTAGCTTGTTGATACGAAAGCAGCGGTCGGTTTTAGTTAAACATGCATTCACCAATATAGACATATATATATATATATATATATATATATATATATATATATATTCTTGCTATTGACCCAGCACCAAGAAGTGCCTACCTCAGCGCTCTCTTGAGAGAGAGAGAGAGATGATGAGGCGACGGAGAGAGAGAGAGGAGAGAGAGAGAGAGAGAGAGAGACGAGAGAGAGAGAGAGAGAGAGAGGGACCGGACATACTGCCTGCTCTGCCTTGCCCCAGTGAGCTTCCACACCGTCCGAAAACTGCGAGAAACGAAATACCTTGACTCAGCGGCAAGGTCGTCATCAGGCCCAGAGTTCAACGACCGGCGATCGAGCACCGTCGATGACGTCAGCTCGCGGCCGAGCCGGGCCGGGCCTCCTTGGGAGGGGCCCGGAACGCAGAGGATTGACCCACTTAGCAGCGCCGTCACGACGGCCCCTCCCCACCCCCAAACGGAGCGGCGGGGGGGGGGGGGCGAGCGGGATGGGGAATATCCGCCAAGGATAATAGCTGTTGCAAGCGAGCAGGAACGCATACGGCGTTGCACAATATTTTGCTTTTGGTCTGCCCCTACAGTTCTATGGAAATACTGAAGTCCGTTTGCCTGGCAATATGTTGGCTTATCACGTAAATCACGCGCCTGAGTAGCATCGTCCGGCCGACTGTGATATATTCTTAGAAAACTGGCAGCTCTTTTCAAACTCTGCCTGGCCGTCCATATCATTTCACACGGAAATAGTTTCCACCTGATATTGGTCAAGTGCAGGCTACACCATTGGGTGTTAATTTCCAGCGAATAACTCTTCATATTCGAAACAGGTTTCGGACAAGCGACACGACAGAGTACGCTGTGCACAAGTGGCGCATGAATAACAGCACCTTGCACGCGATGCATGAGTACTCCCATCCCCATTATGACGGTGCGCTGAGCGTGTCATCCAGCAGTGTGCACGGCACCGCCTGATCGTCACAGACGGTTGACCACATGGCTGACCTCGATACAAGGCGGGCAACAGACGGCCGGCGGGGGTGACAAACAGCCGCCGAGAGGTCAGCCGGGTCACGATCAGCCGGATGCGCCGGCTCGGCGGTGCACGCGGGCAGATGGCGCGGGCGGATCCCGTGGCCGTCTGACCCAGCAGCCGGCCCCGGGCGAGGTGGCGCGCTGGGTGCCGGCAGCGAGGCCCCGGGCGCCTCGGGGTGGCTGTCCGTTACTTCACGCTCAACAAGGCAGGTGGCTGCGCCAGTCGCGACCGCGTGGCTGGCCTAGGTTGGTGCACTAGTGCGGGTAAAGAAAAGAGAAAAACACGGTTTCGGCCCACTCCCTGGTGTGAAATGAGGAATAGCTGAAGGGCTTTGCAAACGGCGTTAGCTGATGGTCGTATTTGATACATCTACACTGATTTGCACTGTAAGTGATGCTGCTTTCCGCCAGTGTATCATAATGATGCCTGTAATGAAGTGAACATTGATCTATGCTTTTTCTTTATTAGATCTAAGTTGAAGAAAATACGCCAGTTACGTATGTCAATAACGCAGCCTGCCTGCCTCGTTTCGGTGATAAATAGTTCGCTACATTGTGACTAAGTTGTTGGCTACTGGTTTGCTGAAACCACGCAAAATGAGCAGCACGTTTGATATGTATATATATATATATATATATATATATATATATATATATATATATATATATATAACACCTTGCATATATATATATATATATATATATATGTATATAGCGATAACCGTAATATTCAATTGTCGAAAAAGCACACAATGCTCATTCGTAGCTAGTTGTTTGACGAAGCAGCTTGCGGAGACAGACCGGTGTGCCGAGATGGCGATATATATATATATATATATATATATATATATATATATATATATATATATATATATATATCGCTATATATATATAGCACGTCACTTGTTTAACGGGATTCGCATGAGCAGAGATTCTTGGTGTAAATCAATAAACCGGTAATAAAAGGGATGCATATTTCTGGAGCGAAAAAGTCGATTTGATATCAGTCATTCATTCGTATAGTAGGACTTGAAACACCGTACAGTTCACATCAGGTGTACGACATTCACTTGACATGGGCCAGCTCCAATGTTTTGCTTACTGAAGACTTTCCTTGGTAGCGATGTGCATGTTTAATAGCTATTAGTTATGAAGGTATGAGGACGCTCAACAGAAAATACTGCGGACGTTAAGCTCGATATCTTGGCTGAATACAGGTGAATGTTCCCGTGTAAACATCTTGTAGCGTTTAGCGTGTAAATTATTATGCTACAATACGTCAAGTCGCAAGTGCCCTGGGCAGTGACGGGAGCCAGCTTCAGCGTATTGGTGATTTCACGCCAACGAGCGCAACTCAGCCTGAGCCGATCACGTCACACCAGGCTAACTGTGATAGCCGTAGTACACGCCTGGGAACGTTCCGTGTCCGGCCTCGGGTGCCAGCAGCTAGTGGCCGTTATGCGGCTGCGGTGGGTCCGCTGTGTGCGGCATGGCGTGATGGCTGCTGGCCGCTGACTGAGCTACTTCTCGCGGTCAGATGAGGTTTAATTTTCCACGCCATCTCGGCACACCGGTCTGTCTCCGCAAGCTGCTTCGTCAAACAACTAGTTATGAATGAGCATTGTGTGCTTTTTCGACAATTGAATATTACGGTTATCGCTAAACCAGTAGACGCTTGGTGAAACCAAGAGGTTCGAACGTTTCTTCGTGCTGAGGCGAAATCCGTGAAAACAGTTTTTACTTTACAGCCGTTATTATTTGTGATTCTATGGCACGTTGATGCATTCCATGGACGTGTTCAGAAACGTACACTGAACCCTTAGTGGACATTGAACAATGTGACTGGTAGCATCAGTCACACGATGGAATAGCGCGTCGCAGTCTCCTGGTTTGCTTCTTTGCACCGTTGTGGTCGCCATAACTTGTGCACGTTATCACTTGTTTGCTCGTGAATTAATCGCTTGTTCACACAGTGACTGAGTCAGGCTTGTGGGACAATGAGACTTGGCGAAAAAAGAAGCGGATATTTCTAGTTTTCCTGAGCGGAAGTCCTTGGGATGTTTCCTTTTAAGTCTACCATTCCAATCAATCTTTACAATTGAACCTAGGATATGTCCATCCGGTTTATGGATGCACTGAATAACGTGGCTTGTGCGGCAAGCTCTCCGTATGTTTGCCCTGCATGGCTGTTTTGTATGCTTTTCAAAGCTGTAATTGCTTGAATTCCGCCCTGCCGGACAGAAACATTTTTGCTGTTGGCCATCAGGTCTAGGTAAGCCTAGCTCCGTCAATTTTCCAGGTGAAATGTCATATCTTTTCAGTGCAACAGCCCTCTAAATTTTCACCACGGACCACACAAACCCCTAATCCATCCTTACAACGCAAACTTCTACCAAGTACAGAAATGGAGCGGGAGAATGTAAGCACGCTGGCCACGCCGCCGCACCTCCTTCAGCCCACCACCCATTGGTCACTTACTTGCAAACAGTCCTGCCCCGCTCGACGGGCGGGGTCGGGTGGGTGGGCCCGAGGCCCGCGTCCGATCCGTCCGCGTGCGTCCCAGCGCCGCAACGGCGTCCTCGACATACTCGGCTGGCGTCCTTGGCGCTGACGGGTGTACCGAGGGCCGGGGCTGGTGACCCGCGGGGGTCAGGTCGGCCGCGGTGGCGCCGCCTGCTGCCGCCAGGGTCAGCGCCAGACCCGCGCTGAGGAGGGCCAGCAGGGCGCCGGCTCGCGGCGACATTGCCGCCCGCGCGGGAGGTGTGCCGGCTCGGCACGAGCTGCTCCGACGGACGCGGTCAGAACGCACGGCCTCAGAAGTGCGCAGCCGTGTTCAGAACGGCGCAGCGGCGACCGATTCTCCGGAAGGTTCCCACCTCGCTCTGGCTGAGCTCTTGTACGCCTGAAGGAGTTCACCAGTTTCATTGATCTAAGCCAATGCTAGACAATCAATCGGCGACAAAAAGGGCCACAACGCAATGATTTCCGCAAGCGTACCTTGAGACACTGGAATCAAACGACCCGCGGGCCTGTGGGGTGCGGGTCGACCAAGGGATGATCTGCGTGTCCTAAGCCGCTACGAACTGGTCAGCAGCAGGGAATTGTCGATTTATACTCGGTCTCTGCTTGGTGACTAAATTATGTTTGACGTCAGGCCAGGCTTAAAACAAGGGCACAGAACCCATGCAGCGTCCCTTTGATATCAATGAGGACCTGGTTCAGCCTTCAAAATCTGAGGTACAATGGTCTGACACAAACTGGTTCTGACACAAACCTCCATAGCAATAGACCTGACACAACCTGATAGTTCTGACACAAACCTCCCAGCGTTATCTGCGTCACATGAGCCTGAGCCCCCACACCCCGCTACACAGCGATGCCGTCCCCACCTCGCCGCACCACGCGAGAGAGAGACCCGCGCCTCCCAGAACCCTGCCGTCCCTGCCGTCCCACCTACCCGCACTACACGGGAGGGAGACCCGCGTCTCCTAGAACCCCGCCGTCCCTGCCACCTCCACCTCGCCGCACTACACGTGAGGGAGACCCGCGCCTCCCAGCACCCCGCCGTCCCTGCCGTCCCCACCTCCCCGCACTTCACGAGAGTTAGGTTCGAGCCCCCTAAACCCCGCCGTCTCCGTGCCTCCGCCGGACTGACCTGGGCCTGCTGGTTGGTGGCGCGCGCGCGGCCAGGCCACGTCCGTCGGCTGCTGCGATAGTGTCCCGTGTGACCGACTCCGGCACGTCGGTATCTCAACTACCGTTACGGCGCGGCCAGGCCGGCCGCCGCTGATGCCGGCCTCCCGCGCACGCGGCGAGCCCGGTCGCCCGCCAGCCAGCCAGCCCGGGTCAATGACTTTCACTTTTTGCGGAGGAATGAAAAGGCTTGCTGACAGGCAAAGGGGCGATGTTTTAGAGGCTGACTGCTTCACGTAATGTGTTGGAGTGCAGGGTTATTTGCGGCAGTTTGGGGTGGGGTGAGGTGGGTGGGGGCATTAACAATACGGTGGAATACGTTTGTTAGGCTTGCGGTATTCAGTGGGAATCATCGCCTTTAAGCCCGTATGTGCTATAAACGTGACTAATGAATCCAAGATATGCATGCGCGATGTGGGGTCGATATTTTGGTGAAACAAGTGTGTACGGCCATTAAGCCTATATAGTGTGGGAGTTTTGTTATGGCGTTGCACTGACAGCTTGTTCTTTTTATTATATTTTTGGAATACATTTATTCTGGATGGTTGGCATGAATGACTTTGGACTCAGAGTACCTGCTAAGCATAGTTTGTTGCGTGTCGCCTGGACCCACCACCCAAGTTGTGCCGTGCTGTTTAACAGCTGATTTTGTCTCCGCCCTTGCGCCAGACAGGACTGCGGAGGGTTTTACGTATCGCACAATACTGCGACACGCCCGCCCCAGGCCTGGCTTGACCCTCGTTTGCCAGTTGCCAGCTGACCTTCCCATTTCAGTTGGGCCAAACAATGCATCCTTGATCTATGTTAAGTTATTTCATGCTTGTGGATGTGGTTTCTTGCATTCTTTATTGAGACGCTGAAGTGCTCGGGCGCCTTATAGCCATCCAGATACAACGAATGGCAAAGGGGACGAAGAGTGTTTAGGAATTAACACTAGCTATCATAGAAAATTATATTGCTGGCCACCGTTCCCGGTAGTATCTTAAAACGAACGCATCAAGCTTTTGTGTATTCATGAACACCTTGTCTGCGCATACTGACCATTCATCATCGTTATAGTCAGTTGGTAGAATATGACAGACATTAATATTGGCTTCCAGAAGCCGAGCTTATGTCCTTGCTCTGTCGTGCAGCGTGGCATTTCCCAGAAGACATACTTTATTCAGCAAGTGTTTATGCAAATTCGTTTCACACTGTCTGATGTAAATAATTTCAGGGTCATCCCAGCAGAGCAATCATTCAAATTCACTCCACGAAAAGATCTTTTGAACCCACCAGTCCGCTACTCATCCTTCACGCATTTGGTTCGGCTGATGCTTTGTGCGCTGTTGTTGCGCAGCCGACTCCCTCCGCTGACTGATGCTGACGAGGATAGCGGGCCGGAGTAGCGGAGGGTGTCGCCGGGCGGGTCGCTTCCGGGGCGGACGGGTGCGACCGTTCGCATCCGACGCTGTTTTGCGATCCTTTTCTCTGTCAAGCTACCCGGCGCCTGCACTTAGTCTTGATGCGGTCCATGGCATGCTTCTGTTTCGCGACGGTCTATTGTAAACTGAGCTCATTTTTCCTTTGTGCGTGGACTATCCTCTGACCCGTAACATGCACTAAGAAGTGGAACCTGAAACGGCTACGCGCTCGTGCACTAGGAGTTATTAATGCGGCTGCCCGCGAAATAATGCGCGTACATGTACCTTGATCTTGGATCCCTGTCGCTTTACAACGGATGATGAACGACTATTGAATTCAATGCACCAGCTCGAGGAAAGAACAATGGCGATAATGGACGCGGCACCACACTAACGCCTGCAAACTCAATAAAAAATCGGTAAAAGGCGCGATCCACGATAGCGCGATAACATTGAACATGGTGCAAATGTGATAGGACGCTCTTAATGTAAATGACTCTCAGGAACGAATACGCAGGCCACAGGATAGGGGATGTATTCCCTGAAAGGCGCTATGGCCGATGAACTCTTCGCGGTAACTCACATGTGGGACGCATCTACATATATTTGGAGAGTGATTCACCATGAAATCGAATCGCCGAGATTTCACTTGTCGCCACTTATCAGGTCATCAAAATTTTCTTAAGCTTCCAGTTAGAAGTGACAGACAAGTGGCATGAAAATCATTTGATGAGAGGGGATGAGATATGACGGCAAAACGAGGAAGGGAGCGGTTATACAACATTTTTGTATCTCGGCATGACTGGTTGTTGGCAAGTGCTAGGTTCGCCTCATCTGTGAGTATCTACCGCCACAACCTGACTTGTTTTGAGACCCGACTTCTAGTCTCTAGTCGCATCGAAACTTCGTCTGGCGCAGCCCGTTTCAGTTTTTTTGGGGGGGTTCGAAACCAGTCGTGCTTAAGAGCATTGTGCTTTACGTTTAGACGGAACGGTTCCCCAAATTCCAGTACGGCCAGACACGACCTATCCTGGCCGGCTTAATCTGACCCGACCTATCCTGGCCGGCTTACATCTGAACCGACCTATTCTGGTCGGCCCACATCCAGCCCGACCTATCCCGGCCGGCTTGCATCGGACCCGACCTATTATGGCCGGCTTACGTTTGACCCAACCTATCCCGACCGGCCTGCATCTGACCCGCATGAGGCCGTCATGTCGTACGCTCATTCATTAGACAGTGCGTTTTTAAAAGACACATTAGCCGTTCTCACCATGGGTTAATGCACTGAAAGGTGTTTAAAAGCTTTGAAAATGTATTCATGAAGGAGTGGCATATACCGACACTTTGACCAGGGAATTATTACCTGCATGCAGCTTCACTAACACTCAGTAAACAAAGTCACGTTTATCGAACTCAATAGGTTTATTACATGAAACGAGACTCTCATAGATATTTTCTTCTTCAATTAATTCCTTCAGTTTGTCCAAATTATTTGATAATGGCAGGCGTGTCATTCAATGGTATGGATCGGTCGGGGGATTGGATAAGGGCTGCCGTGCCATTATTGCTGTCGTCATTGTCCTGTTAAGCAAGGTGGACACTTAAGGATCATTTAATTCAGGGATGATTTATCGTGAGCCTTGTTTAGGCATGTAAGCTTTGTAAATGCCTATAAAGAGGGACGCGGCCGGGATACAGGAGTGTATTTCCCCACTTGTGCGTTAGTGGACGTGCCGCTAAGTTTTGTTTTTTAAGGACTTGAAAATATTTAGTGGAAAGGGATTCGGTGTTATAACTACCCGTGCAAGCATGATCTTGCTTCCAACCAGGAAATCGTAGTTTTATGAACAAATACGCGAGGATTCTGATCTTCAGGACTAATTTGAGGCGCTGAAGGCCTTTATTCTTGCATCAATTGCTGCACATAGGCTTCCACAGCGGGGACCGCCAGGAAGTTTTGGATGGGGTCCGCGGTCACTACGCCTCGCGTAAGGCCGAGGGTGCGCTGGTACTCTTACGACCGGCCGCTGCGTCGATGCGGTGGGGCCGGTCGTGTATCCGGTCGATCATCACGTGCCTGCAGCCTGTGAATGTGATAATTTTTTAAAACGAAAAGTTAAAACTTATATTGACGGTATTAAATTATAGTGCACATGCTACAATACAATCTCCTTGAAATCATTTAACTTCCTTGAGGTGCGAATGCTTTTTTATACGCTCTTCGTCAATGACCACCACGTGCCAACACCATTTCCCCTGTTATGCTTTTGTCATGCGTTTTGTTATGTTATGTTATGCTTTTCAAAAGCTTTAAAACGTATACAGATGAGTCCTGAAATTGTGTGCATGTTTTGCTGTTCATTGTAACCTTGAATCTTTTTGTGTGTAAGTGCATTGAATGAGAGCGCCAATATATCACATTTACTTTACCCATACCGTGCTCCCAGAATCACAATTAGCGCGACAATTTTGATGAATACTGCTATGACAGTTATATCTTAATGCAATGCTATTGCATCTTTGAACAATCGTCCTTTAAATATGTTTGATGTGATGAAGTCTCGATTTCGGGGGGACGTCCCCGCGGTGCAGACCTTTCTGACAGGGCGAGACGTAGGCGGAACCATATAGACCCAGCAGGTAAGTGCGTCGTAAAGCCCCAATGACGGCGAAGGAGGGGGGGAGGGGGGGCAGACATAGTTCCTCTAAATTTGCTCTCCTTCCTCTTCCTCTAGGTGCAATCAGCCGCAAACGAGACAGGCTAG